GTTTAATGTTTATCAGTACATTACAGAAAATAATGAACTTTATCACAATATGCTAATTTTTTGAGAAGGACCTGTAGTTAATCTTTTAGCACATCAGCATCAGATTATCAGTAGCAGGACTTGGATTTTGTGTAAACGACTATATGATAAACTAAAGCTGTATTGTATTTAATGGATGCATTGACAGATTTAGTCATCACRTAGCTAATTTGGATGAAAGCATATTAATCGAACAGTGATCCAAGTCATTGTTGACTCATTTATAAAACACAGACAGTGTGGGGAAAATAAGGAGGAAATGAGGAACGTAAAATGGACGCGTCATTTAAGATTATGACTTTTCTTTTCGTAATATTACGACTTTATTCTCCTAATAATAAAAAAACCTTGTTGTATGGCCTTAATACTGTCGTAAAATGCTTGTGTAAGAAGAGAGAAAACTATCATCCAGTCAGCTTGCATTGCATCTTCAGAACGCAGACCAACAGTTTAGCTGCAGTGAGATGAAGCACTTACCTAAATCCTCCTCCTGAACTCAATATAAAGTATGCTGATGCAGAGTTCGTTCCATACAAACTTTGGGCGAAGGCAAAGTAACTGTAAAAAACAGCAGGAAAAAAGTGACAATCAATCACATACAGTGGAATAATAAACATCTACTTTTATGTTACACCAATAAACATACAGTTAATAACATCATCAGGATCATATCACTATGATATTTAGTTTCACTGATTTCTTCTTGAACTGTAAAGCAGCCAAACTCTCTACATTCAAGGCAGACAACCTCTCTCTTACACATTCTTCCTCCGGATTTTGTTCTTATGCATCTTTTCCTTCCTGATAAGGAGAAACTCCACATCGTAGAAACGGTTAGCGAGGAAGGTCAGGAGTCTGGAGAGAAGACTGGAGGGAGATGATGAACTGGAGCTCATCTGTCGCCTTGCAACAAGGAGGAGAGCCGACCGCTGGCAACATCTGTGTAGAGGCTGCAAAGAAACAAAACATGCAATAAAAGAGAAGACAGAGTCTAATTTACAGATGTTTAACCCGGATTATTTGTTCTATTCATAAAAGTGACATATAACGAGAGCTACAGGCTTGAAGTCTGTAAAAACACACACACAAGAGAGGATGTAACCCAGCATGTCATGTAGCTGTTGTTGTTGTTGAAGCTCTCCGTCAAAAGCCTAAAATTAGCGTTAGCATGTCTTACAGGTAAAACATGGTCTTCTATTCAACAACCAGAGGTCTTAAAAATAGGTTTGAATTATTTGTGATAGTCTGAACATGTAAGCACCCAGTGGAAAGTTGAAGGTTAACTCACCAACAATAAAGTCGCCATGATAGCAGCATTTGACGGGGAGTCGGAAGGGACAACAAACTTCCTGCTCCCGCTTCTGGACGGCTGAGCGAGTTGTTGTTCCCTTTACCACCACAAGGTGTCGGTCAATGCACGTTTCAGTTCACGACTCAACATTAGTTAACAAATGTGAAATAAAAAGGTCATGGAGTCTCCAAAAAACCTTAATAAACTATACAACATATATA